CCTTAACCTTCCAAGTTTTCTGATAACTCATGACCACCACATACTCTCGACGAACGTCGTTAATAATTTCTGAAGGTCTATAGATTGTTCGTGAGTTCTGAAACTTGTGCATTATTTATTGATCAATGAACCATGATCTAACTTGCCTGTGATCATTTCGACGAATATCAACTTCACAAGTATGTTCTCGTGCATACTTATGAACTACGAAGAACTTATTTGTCTACATTTTCGTTCCTCGCAAGTACCAATGGCAACTATCGTCAACTTAGATAATTGTGTATGTTGACTTGTTTGATTTTTTCACTTTAAACTCAAAATTGTGTTTCGAAACTATTCAATGAACGACTTCTTGCAATTTTTTTTTGGTTTCGAACAGTTGCTCAACATACAAATTTTCATCATCGGGAACTACACGTGAACAATTAGAGGACCATGTACTCGTTCTAACCTGTGAGCTACCCTAACTCATGTCTCCGACGGGAAAACGCAATTAAATTCTCATTTGTAAATTCATTTTCATTTTCATTGTCGAGGAAATTCTATGAGTAATAGTGATGAGCAACTATCTCAGGAATAGGCATATCATCCTCACGAACTATCTTCATCGTGTCTCAAAAATCATTCACATCATGATTTCTCCATCGAGATCTTCATGTTCACTCTTGGGGTTATTCTTTTGTGCTAAAGTTACGCAAATAGGAGTCGTGCGATTCAGGTTCAATTCAATTAAAACTTTCATTTCAGTTTTAAAAGTAACCATTATATGCGAAATTTAAATGGACGCATGCTCACTGAATAGAAATCTCAATTCCATATCGTACTGAGATAGATGGACGTCGAGCATATTCTGTAATTCATGGTACATTTCTGCATATGATGTACTAGATTTTATCACAAATGCATTAGTACCATGTCTTCGCTCCTCCATTTTCATACCCAACGTTAATTTTCATTAATTTCAAATTTACCAAAGTCGCAAACTGGAATTTTAACTGATCCCATATCGGCATAAGGAAAATATAATTTGTTAAAAATTTATAATTATGGGGAAAAAGGGGGATGAAAAACATTTTTGGGATGGTCGGACCGACTGGAAACAGTAAAACTAGTCATTAAGGATGGTTTTTTGTTTGAATTTTTGGTGGCCTTTAGAGAAATTCTTGCAACTTTTCATATTTTGGCATCATTTCGTATAGTATTGATTGTGGCCTATAAACAAGTGATTAATGATCAATACAAAATATATAAAAACTACGTGAGATCAATTCTTTTGGAGATTGATGACACACTTCAACAAACTGGATGTGTTTTTTAATTTGCCTACAGTTCGCTAACCAAAAAAATTCAACCAGATTATGAAGGGAAAAAAATTAAGTTATCATGCTATGACGTGTTATAAAATAGAGAGAAAAGTGAAAAAAAAAAGAATAAGATAAATCAATAAAGTTGTCTGTATTTTATTAAGAATTAAAGCTCCATATTTTACATGCAAGAATTATGGTTGCAAGGGATACAATAACGATATTAATTAGGATTGCAAGGATATAGTGGTCATTCACAAATGTTACTTTGTTTACAACAATTTTAATTTAAACCAAACAGGAACATGTATATATATAAAATCCGTTAATATATAAGACGAGCTCGGAGCTTACTTTATTATTAATATTTTTAAAAATATAATTATTGTATAAATGATCAATTAGTTTGAGAAGTTGCACTTTTTTACCAATTTGATTTATCTAAAAATTAATTTTTTTAGTAAATTTTGATAAAAATAGATAGAATGTGTAGTTAAAAAGTTAATAAAAGTTATGAATTTAATAAATTTAAAGATTTTTTTAAAAATGTTGAATAAATCATGGAAAATTTTAAAAGAAAATGCTTGTTATGCATAGCAATTTACATGATTTTTTACAAATTGATGAAGTATAAAAAAGATAGTGGGGAAGTTTTTCTTCTTTATTTAGTTGATGAAATTTTAACCAAATCAAATCTTATCAGATCATCTATTGATAAACAAATTCGTAAGTTATAAAGTACATGTAGCACAATTGAGTCCTTGTTTGATTTTCATTATTTTCAAAATATATTTTTTCTTTATTTTCTTTACAATCACACATTTTTAATAAAATAATATTATAGATAAATTCAAAAAAATTTCTTATTTTTTGAACACATTTTTTTTCAGTATACTATGTCAAAATACAATTTTTAAAAAATTATGTTTGCTCCGAATTTTAAAACGGGACGGCATGATGTTTACAAAACATCATGTTCCATAGAAACTCCCAAGAGCCAGAAGTCCAAAGTAAAACATTTTATAGTTAACATGTTCTACTTTCCGATCGAATAGTCTCTAGGCCCCTCTAATTCAAGATTCAACCCCGTCCCAAAGGCAGCAAAGAGAAAAACACACAATTCGACCAAAGGAAAACAACAAAATCTTCGATCCAAAGTTTCACGAAGAAAGTTCAGAATACACAACCCAAACAAGCTCTTGATCTACCCGCACAGAGTTTCAATACCGCGTTAACTCTTCTGGATACAAGTCCATTAATGTAGAAGCAAAGAGAACAAACTCAATTCTGTAATCTTGACATTTTCATTTGGGGTGTTGATTTTTTGGTGAAAGGAAGATGATGAATACGGCGGGGAGTAATGGTATGATGTCTTCGGCGTCGGCGTCTGGAAATAACGCGCAGTTGCCTGGTTTGAAGACTTATTTCAAAACCCCAGAAGGTAAGTACAAACTCCAGTATGAGAAGACTCACCCTTCTGGACTTCTTCACTACGGACAAGGCAAAACTGTCACTCAGGTCGGTCAATTTCTCCTCCGGTTCTAGGGTTTCCCTTTTTTTTAATTTGTTATTATTTTTTTTTGGATTTTTTTTCAACGTTCACACACTTGAATCGTTGGAAATTATGATCTTCAGAGTAGTGTATTGCAAACTTGAGTTCCAAGAATCTTCATAGTTACTGTAAATTGATGATTTGAGGCAATCTCCGGCGTTGCACCAAAATTTGCACAATTTTGCACCAAACCAAAATTCTTCTCCAACTATTACATCAAATGAACAGTGTTCTATGATTTTATTCATTCTTTCAATTTTTGACAATGTATTTATTTAAAAAAATTATTTATTTATTTAATTATTTTATAACTACATAAATTACTAAATCATAACTTCATTAAATTAACAAATATATTGATTATTAAATTATTCATATGTTTTATATATTATGTTAAATTGACGAAAATAATTGATTATATTATTAATTTA